ACCCCCCCTCCTCCCCCCTCTGGTCTGCCCTGATTCTGGATAGAGTAACCTGGGAGTAAGATCTAAGGGAACCCCCCCACCCCCCGATCTTGGCTATACACACCAAATCAGCCCATTCATCCACAATTAGATCAAAGATCAGTTGGAACTTGTTTTGGACTGACCTGGCATTAAGCAGCAAAAAGGGTCAGAGCAGAGGGACATCTGAGCTGGTTACCTTGCGTATGTTGGGTGTCGGGAGGGCTAGAGCTTAGAATGGATACGATGCATTGAGGGTGAGCTTTCCTACACCAGCCAGCTTCCCTCCTACAGCCTATCTCCCTCTACCTGTTAGCACCAGAATGGGATTACTTGCCATCCTATGTGCCCCTCCTCTGACCCCACAGAGCTGAAGCCACACCCCACAAGCAAAGCAAGAAGCAAAGAACAAACTAAAAAAAATTCACAGAGAAAACCCAATCACCCACCCACAAAGTATACTCTCAGCAATCCTCAATGAGAAGGTCTCTTAAGCTATATTTTCAAAATTAGAATAAGAGATAAGGCTAAAAGGCCCGATCTGTACTACATCCCCAAATATGGACAACAAACAGGAGCTTACGAAAACAGACAAAAAAAATTAGTAACAATAATAACCAAGCCTAATACAAAATGAGACATCAAAATTAATAGATGCAACAAATTACAAAAACAAAATACAATAATCAATGCACACTACAGAATGCAATATCAACAAAAGCAAATGAAAGAGAAAAATAAATAAAAAAAACCCAGAAACTGAACCCACACAGCAGAACGCACTCTAAGCTGGCAGATCAAATACTCACTCTAGTTAAAGAGTTTTAAAATTTAATGTTAGGGTTTATGAAACTTTGTATTATTATGAGTGAGTCATGCACACACTGAAAAAAAAGAGAACTATTTAATTAGCAACAACCTGCTACATATAATGATTTCACTCCCATTCTGGAGACAGCTATGCAACATGATACTGACCAATTGCACTCAGTAATTTGTGTGGGAAATCATTTGCATACCTTTGTTAGTTTGGGTACTGTTTCCATCCTATATGAACTTGATCAAAGGTTCTGTAAAACGTTACAATCTTTAAGCAAGCAAGCTGCGTTGATTAACTCATATCAGTTCTTCAACTAGCTTTGGAGAAATGTTAGGAAAAATAGGATATTTTTCATGAAGCTGATTTCCTTTGTTCTCTCTCCCTCTTTTTTGCAGATCCCAGAGATACTGCTGATAGTAAGTAATTTAGAATGATCTTTCTCACATTACGCGCTACTCGTTCTTTGGGGGCCACCTGACTTACCTTACACTGGGAGTGAAAGTCATTCAATTATTACAATTGCACAGTTCTAAGATCTCTGGTGTTATATCTGTTGGAGGGGTTTGGAGTTCTGTTATTCCTTTTTTTTTTTAATTTGAAGAAAAGCATGAAGATACATGCCAACGTGCCAAATCAGACACGTTCTATTGGAAAAGGGGAAAAAAAAGATTACTGGGTGCTTCTTCATTAAAGCAACAAAATATTTCTACATATGGTTCATGGATTTGTTCTTTTACATGTACAGTGTCTGTGTTTGGAGAAGAGAAAATAGAGAAGAGAGGAAAGGTGGCCCTCAAGGGAAGCACCAGGAAGGAAGGAAGGAAGGAGACGTTTCAGAGACTCTGAAGTGTCAACCCCCTGCTCTATGTTTAGAGGCAGATGCAGAGCACACTCCCCAAGACACCCAGAGTTTAAGAAGAAGCATGCACAACTCTATTTTACTTTAAAGGAACGATCCTATGCAACCTGTTAGGTGACAGTGCAGGTAGAATAGCAGAGGGGCCCGCTGCAGATGGGACTGGTCCCTGTCCTGTTGCAGGAAACTGTGTTGGGTAGGGGCTGGAAGGTGTCTCAAGACCATGTTGACAGAAACTGGCCGCTGAGAAGACGTGGTGTGGGTGTTACAGCTGTTTTACTGGTCAGGAATCTACAAGCAAGTAGAGCTCTCCTGGGCCTCCTGTCCTGAGTGCTAGTGCACGTAGCTAAAAGCCCCAGCCAGGAGGCTCCCTATTGCTCCAGCCTTTGATTGACCAGCCCTCTGAGTGAATTAGATTTGACATCCTGTAGTAGAGCCTCCAGGTTGAATGCTCAGATGTCAAGGTTTCCCATCTGTTGGGGCCCATTCCTAAGGCCTTCAGATCCTGCTTGCAGATATCCTTGTATCACAGCTGTGGTCTCCCTCTGGGGCAATTTCCCTGCACTAATTCTCCATACAGGAGATCCTTTGTAGCACAGTAATTGTACAGTGGTGCCTCGCTTTACAGTTGCCCGCATTACGATGAATCCGCTTTATGACAATCTTTTTGCGATCGCAATTGTGATCACAAAATGATGGTCTAAATGGGGGAATTTCACTTTGCGATGATTGGTTCCCTGCTTTGGGAACCGATTCTTCACAAAACGATGTTTTTCTAACAGCTGATTGGCGGTTTTAAAATGGCCACCAGGTAATTAAAATGGCTCCCCGCTGTGTTTAGGGATGGATTCCTCACTATACAGGCAGCGCAAAGGGCCACCGTATGGAGGATCTTTGCTGGATGGTGAGTTTTTACCCCATTGGAATGCATTGAACGGGTTTCAGTGTGTTTCAATGGGTTTTTTTATTTCGCTTTGTTTTCGTTTAACGGCGATTTTCCTGGAATGGTTTATCGTCGTTAAGCGAGGCACCACTGTAATCCTGTTGCATATATGTTACACAGGTTTTCTTACTACTTCCAGGACTGTATGTAGCTCTGAATTCCAGAGACAGGAAATTTACATTCATTAGCAAATACTGTTCTCCTTGTACTGCTGATTGTCAAGATTTACTTGGAAAAAAGCTGCTCCAGTAAGCTTCAGTTTCTGATAGTCACAAGGTTTTTTAAAATTTGGAGTGCATACCTTACAACGCATTACACAAATAATCTTGAAGCCCAACATAATATAGGTACAATCAATACAAAAAAGTCTGAATTCTATTTATAATTAATTAAATCCATAAAATGTTATATAAAAACAAGTAGCACTGTAACAGCTGTATAAACAAAAGGTACAAGTGGAAATACAGGCAAGACAATAGAGTCGAATCATCAAAAGACCCACTGGATCAAGAATGTATTTTCCTAAAGCCAAAGTTACTATTGAGGGGTGCAGGGAGGCCTGCAGTTGTGGAGATCCGTTGTTGGGGATATGTAAGACAAAGTACCTTTCTTTGCTTTCACACCCCCAGCCAGATGAAATCTTGCTTCTTGTCCACAGCAAGATACAGAGAGATTCGTAAGAAGGAACTCTTTAACATGTAGTGGTCCTAACTCATAGAAGGGTTTACATAGAAAAATACCATACACTAAAATGGGTCTAGGAACATGACTGGTAAATGTGCTGTTTCTACTTCATATCTGTTAGGATCTGACACGCTGTCTTTGTACTCCATCCACAGCTCCTAAACTGTTCAAGAGCACGCTTAAAAAAAACTTGCCATTGCATTAACATGCCTGTGAAATTACAAAATCATAGCTGATAGTTGCTACATCTATGTTCTCCAGACAGCAGCACACCTACATACTATCAAGATGATATCATTGTGAGGTCTCTTCTCACAAGCACAGTTGGAAGTGGAAGTCCTGATCCCTCAGGGCAAGAGAAAACCTGCTTAGAAGAGGTACCTACCTTGTTCAGAACATAAGGACTATCCTTGATCCTCATATGAATTTACAAATACTGTATCTCCATACTGTCTGCAGTTGCTACCATCAGTCTCGTTCAGCACTCACAACCATTCTTTACAACATTTTGCACAAGACACACCCTAAGGTGCCTTAGACATTGAGAGTAGCAGAGTTTCTGAGTAAATTTCATGGGATAGCTTTAAAGTGTGATTTTAAAACAATCTATTTTAAAAGTATACAGTGACCTTATATGACCACATCCATGTAATCTGTACTGTATATACTTACTTTATTAACAGATTTTATAGGCACATTTCAGTTACATAGAAATCAATCTTACTTCTATGAACAAACTGTAGGTACAAATGTTTAAAAATATATGAAGGCTGAACTTAAGTTGCAGGCAAATACTTAAGTCAGAAAAATCTATTTCAGTTACAGACTAGAAGTTATAAAAGATATAGACAAGATTCTAAATCATGTTTCAATCTAAATAGACAAGAGCTTATAGCCTTAAAAGGAGGTAATAATAAAATATAATAATATATATATAAGCTACCAACATATATTTGACCCAACTGGAAGACAGGAGGGCCTGGCGTGTTCTGGAGGGCCTGGCGTGTTCTGGTCCATGGGGTCACGAAGAGTCAGACATGACTTAACAACAACAAATAATATATTGAATCCCAGTGTGCTGTAGTGGATAGAGTGATGGACTAGGACTTTGGAGAACAAGGTTCAAACCCCCGCTCAACCATGGAAACAGCATGGAAATGATATAAACAAAATACATAATAAATCAGTTGTTGGCCTATGGGGTGTCACTTTGTGTAGTGAGTTGCAACATGACATTCTTCAACTAAGAAATTTCTCTTCCTCATTTTCATTGTGTAACAACTAAAATGATTCTGCCACTGTAACCCTCTATGCCTGAGAGAGGGAAAAACCAGAAAATTGAAAGTAAACTAAAGAAAAGTAGTTTTTGCCTTGCCGAACAGATTTTAAAGGAAACATTCAACTATATATTATTCTGCAACCCTAGAAATATTTCTCATTTGGATTCTATACATTACAATTCTCATACAAGCTCTCCCTTCCAGATACAAATTTTAATGTTTACTCGGGGATTCAGCAATTCATATCTAACTAGCCAAAACATGTAACAGTAAACTTGGAACTCGGAAGGCAGATAAGAAACTCAGGTAAAAGTTCAAATGTAAACACAATGAGAGAAAATAGAGCTTGATACTTCTTAAGGATCTCACTTATCTTGAAAGCCCTACCAGGGTCGCCATTAAGTGGGTTCATACTTGAATTATAATACAGAATACTGTAAATAGAACTGCAATTGTTCATTGTCGTTGAAACATGTGAGCCACACTTGAGGCCACACAGAGACAGTCTGTCCTTGTTCATACCAAATGTTAAGCTGTGATTTAGTATTACCTAAATGATCCTCAAGCTTATGACCTTGCCATTCACCTGTTATCTTCTGGCACAGGAAGAGATTGAACGCTTCCTTTTCCAGGAAGGTTTATTTTTGTGCCCAGGTCAGTATTTATTGTCGTAGTCACTTTTCAATAAGGTTCAAGGAAACAAGACTATTTCAGATTACGGTTTATTATCCTCCCTTAGTTTCCTAAAGCATAGTTCAGATGGTTTTGGTTTGGACATCAATATATAACATGCAGACTTGAAAGCAGAAGGAAAATGCTTCAATGCATTCCTCTTGGCTGTTTTAGTGGGAGGGAAGGTTGAGAGCAGCATTTTATGTGGGACATGCAACACTAGCAACTTAGTCTTGCTTCTTAATCAGGTCTTCTTGTGAAAGTTAAGGCCCGAAATCAGATCTCATGTGTATCTTAGATAAATGATGTTCATTGTATGAATATAAGCACTTGTATCTTGTTTGTGGGCTTTCAAGAGGCATCAGCTGGGCTACTCTGAGAACAGGATGCTGGGCTAGAGAGGTCTTTGGTTGGATCCAGCCACAGAGATCTTCTTATGCAGAAATGTGTCAACACCCTATATCAGTAGCCACATGAAAACCAGAGTTCTTCCCATAGACAAAAGAGTAATGCTAAGACATTCTATATGAGGGACGATTGCATTGCTTTTCCATTCTATTCCATCAAAATAGTCAGATTTTGTGATTCTCAAAAAGAGCCATAGGAAAAGCAAAGGGGAACAATAATTTGATGACAATATCGTATGACTCCTATGTGAAATGGAAAACAAAGGAAGAATTATCATTCTGTTCCATCCATTCCAATGCAAGGAATGGAACTTGAACATCACTTACAGATTTAATACCACTTGAAACCCAGTCAATATTTGACAATGTATTCTGATGTATTATGATACTCCTTTAAGCTCAGGTATGATTTCTAGCTCTATATCCATATATATAAGTAGCCATTATTAATCTTTCATAAACTGGTTTATCTGTTTATTTTCTTCTGTTCTTGTCATCATGTCTCATTACAGAACTGCATAATTTTGAAGTGTTATTTGAGATTCCATCACTGGTCACCACTTCAGATAAAGAATTTCAGGTCAAAGTGTGTGGCAAGTAAGTAAAATTCATACAGTACAACATAGCCGCAGAAAATCTCAACATCTTGGAGATCTAACTTCTTAACCCATAACACTTACTCAAGGCAGTTATGATACTTTCATCTTCTGGGTCAGAATGGAGAAGGTTGAAAAAATTCAAATAGACTTCCTGGAACCAATCTTCAGGACTGGAACTGGAGACATCTACACAGCTGAGACACCAAAGACATGCCACAGCCCCCCAATTCCACTACTCAGGTTCTATCTACATCTAAACATTGCCTGGTTTCTGTACTCATTGGAAAAGGCAAAACCTTCTTGTAAACCTGCTACAGAAGTACTTACCAAAATATCTTCTGCATATGAGAAGCTTTCAAGTCTTCAAAGCCCCCTGTGGAATGAGAACTAACGGTGGTTACTGATAATACCCATTGTATGGCCTGAAATGCAGATGATAAGTCATCAGAAAACTCTCCATTCATTGAGTGAAAAGTATTCTTACATCCACTTACACAATTATATTAAAAGGGGAAATGATACAAAGGAAAAAATTTTTTTATCCTTTCCTACCCTTCCCCCCCTTCTACCTGGTCCCCCTATGTGTACCTTAATCCCTATCCCGTTTGAGAATTAATAAAAAACAATTAAAAGAAGAAGAAGACTCTCAATCTATTTGGCCACCATCTCAAAATCTGATGTTGGGGATGCCAACCCTCCTTTTTCCCTCTGAGGACATCTGCTTCTATTCTAATGTTCAGAATGGTCAAGTTATTGCGGCTAGAGGTTCAGAAGCCACCTTCTCCAAGATCTGATCCAGCTTATGGTCAAATAAATAAGGCTATTGCCCTTCCAATACATATTGGAATGCTACAATCTCTCCTGGACTTGGTCAAGAAGAACCATCTGCCTCACAACCTACTTCTGGCAAAGTGGAAAACCTATACAAGATCCACAACAACGAAGCAACGTTCTTCCTAAAACATCCACAGCCAACTCTTATCATTGTGAAGGGCTCTCTGATTCGGGCATCCCAACACCACTCCAAACAACTGAAATGGCCACACAATGGACATCCTGGGCGGGAGAATGTACTCTGCAGTGGGCTTAGGCATACACATAGCCAAGTACTACTCTGATCAACAACATCAGATTCTGAGATGATGATCAAAATAAATGGATGCATGCCAAAGGTTTCTCTGGGACAAAATCCAGTCACTACTCAACAGCTTATCTAAGAGAGTCCTAGTCCTTATTTTTCAACACAAGGTCATGTCTCTTGCCACACAACAGAGGCTTTCTGCACGGCATGCAACTGGCTGCACTCTGCCAAAAATATGTCTTCAGCAGTGGCCCTGAAATGTTTTGCTTGGGTCTGCTCAGCTAGTCTCTCAGAAAAATCTAGGGCCAGTCTAGGGTCTGCTCTTTGACAGAGAAGGACTATTTGATGAAAAACAGTGATTGAACGGATAACTTGCATAAAAAAGGAACGCTACCAAAAGAATGGCTTTTATCCTCAGTACCAACAAAGATAGTACAAACCTTGCTGAAAATGGCCATACCCATATTCATCATCGAATGTCAGTCTGATCAACAGAAGCCCCACCCATTGCAGGCAACAATTTCAACGCCAGAAATTAAAGGAATCAAGTGGCACCAAAACAACAAGAGAAATCTTAGCAGCACATTTGACTGCTTACATACCAAGATCCTCTGGCCTTTGACAACTTTTCTGAAATACATCATTTCACTCTTATCACCACACGTCACCATGTGGCACATCATCATCAACCATTAATAGGTTTTAGCCATCATAGACCAAAGGTATGTATTGATAGCTCTCCCTCTGGCAGGCCTCTTCAGACCTACAACACAATCTCAGGTTTTAGAAGAAGAAATAGTTACACTAAAGAACCTCATGGCACAGTGGTTAAACTGCTGTACTGGAGCTAAAACTGTGCTCACAACCTGGGGTTCAATCCCAGGTAGCTGGCTCAAGGTTGACTCAGCCTTCTATTCTTCCAAGGTCAGTAAAATGAGTAGGGGGGGGGAATGTGTAACCTGTATAATTAACTTGTAAACTGCCTTGAGACTGCTTGAAGCACTAGTGGGTGGTATATAAGCAGCATGCTTTGCATTTTTTTTTACTATTGAAGAAGGATGCCATCAAATCTGTTCCAACAGATATGCTTCTCATAGGGTTCTATGCCCATTATATCATGGTCCCAAAGAAGGATGCTTACAGTATTTATATTACTATCTTCAAAGACCATTTCTGTTTCTTGTGGTTTCCATTGAAAAATGGTATGCATCAGTTCAAAGCAATTCCTTTTGATCTTTCTATAGCACCCCAAATTTGTATGGTACCACATACTGCTTACCTCAGACTTTGTAGTACAATAATGTTTCCATACATAAACGAGTGGTTGATTGTTGCCAACTCCAAGGTCTTAAGAAAA